ATGAATGGTGTTTTTCCATTTTTTTATTTTTGATTTAATGCTTTTATTTTAGTTTTTTAATGAAAAATATGAACTTATCATTTTGCCCTTTAAAAATTAGTTAATATTTGGTCAAATCTTTGATTTTCGGTCAACTAACAAAGAAACTAACGGTATCTTTTAGTTTGGACTCTATATGCGAGTTTTTGAAATGTTTGGTAACGTGAGTGCTACAAATTAAAGGTTTTAGTCAAGTTTGCATAAAAGTTAAATGTTTAATATAATGGATACAATTTTTCCTAATGATAATAAAACGGTACATATTGTTAGAAGAATAATTCTATGGGTACAAGAAATACTCACAGAAGTCTTACAGAGTTTTGAATATGCTGACTTGGCACATAGAATTATTAATAATTTTTTAATTCGTTCACAATTTAACCTTAAAATTGGTTCCAAAGCCAAACCGGTTTGACCTTTAAAATGAACCCATCTTCATTTCCTACCAAATCATTTCCATTTTTCCCCAAATCACAAAGCAAGAGAAAAATCGCAGCTCTTCATCATCGAATTTGTGGTCCTCCATCATCGGTTGACATTTGGACCACTGATTGGCGCGCACCATCGGACCTAGTACGAGGAAGGCAGCCCACCAAAACCTATCGTGGAAATAGCATTTGAAGACGACAGTCGAATCGTAGACAAAGGTAGTTTGCTTCTTGGTTTTAAATTAGCTAGCTCATACATTGAATTAGCAATTGATCCAAAGATTAGATTATGGAAAATGGTTGCTCCTTGCTTCTAAATAGGGTAGTTTATACATGAAATTTTGAGAATCCAACCTTTTTCCTTATTTCGTTTCAGCAATTTATTGTGGAAAGCTTGTTGAATTTGATACTACCATTTTCGTTCTCTGTTTATATGTTATTTTGGGTCGAGCCTTCATTTATTGCCTTTGTGTCCTTTTCTTAAAATGCAAAGCATACTGCATCTTTGTTGAGCTCTAATGAGTGTATTAGATCTTTTTTGTTCAATACTAGAGGAATATATGATGTGCAAGGATAGTTAAAACGGATCTTAGAATTAGTTAGGCATTATCTAACATGTGGATACTTGAACATTTGATTAGTTATGGCCTCGGGGGGGGGGGGGGGGGGGGGTTTTGGGGGGGAAAAAAAAAAA